CTGACACTGGCAATCCAGGATTTTATTGTACGAGTTAGCTGGATTTAAGCCATGCTTTTATTTTTGAACTTGGAGAGGTGTGTTTTAACTAGTGCTGTTTCTCATTTCACCCTTACTGCCAACACTCCCAATAACACAAATACAGTATACCTTAAGGAGGCCTAAAGCCTTCTCACTTTCTATTGGATGTCCAGTTTCCCAGTCCATGCTAAATGGTTGAGCAAAGCGTGAGTTATTAAATTTATAGGAAGTGCTCAACAGTTTGTTTGGAAGTGAGTGATGATCCTTCTTCCAAATGGCTTGCAGATGCTGTAGCAGATTTCAGTGATTATATACCAAACCAACTCATAATTACCTCTCAAAACCAAATCCATGCTTATTTACAAAGGCATTTATGCACATAAATCCCAGAAAAACATTCCCTCTCTTGGCAAAAATCATATTTGCACTCAGTACAGATTATTGTAGGTAGACAAGGGCAGAACCTGTGCATTTTGAGACAAAAAATCTGAGCATCGTTTCAGGTGTGTACCAGTGACTTGCTCATTAAATCAGACACCGTTTAGCTGTCTTGGGACACAAAACACTTGTTTTCTGACTCATTGCATTCTCCTTTTAATGAGCGCTGCCCACCGTGGTGACATCTGTGCTGTTTCTGCTTACCAGACCTGAAACACACACTCCGGAAACCTCTGGAAATCTTGGGTGACTACATTTTCAGTCAGCCCTTACCTCACCTGAAAGACAGCACATTTCCCATCAGACCGAGGACATTCCCAAATGGTTGACTAATACACATCCTTTATGTGATTCAGTGACTGCTGGCTAACCTTGAGCACATCAGCAAAGCATTACTAAGTAGATAGAAAAAGACAGAAATAAGAGGAAAATAGTGAAAAAACTATGAGAAACTGGGTGGAAATGGATGAGGTGGAGGTAGAAGAAAGGGATGCGGTTTTCAATAAACGCAGGTCAGTACCAGGCTGTGTGTTAGACTTTACTGTCACAGCATGCCTTTCACCATTTGTTTCCCATAAAGGCCACATGGAAATATTTAGCTGTCTTAAAGCAGATTGGCTTTAAGACTTGGGCTGTAACATTTGCTACTTCTTTTCCAGGTCAGTCCTAATAAAGTTTTTCAAAAATACTGATCAAACCGCTATAAAGTGACGGGACATATACATCTCCCAGGGTGCATGTGCACATTTGTGGTTTAAACAACTGTGGGGGGGGGGAAACAATAGATTAAACTAGCATCTTGGAAGCAATTCCTCATGGCACTTTTGTTTTTACTCTGCAACAACTTCTGCAGTCTAGAAAGGGAATAGAAATCACAGATGCACATGGAGACTGAGGTCATAACGAAGCTCTAGTTGGTTTGTAGTCTTCACACTTTCTTGTTTAATATGTAAACTGTGGAAACATAAAACAGACATACTGGTAGAACTTTAAGGAATGGGAAACATAAAATGGCCTATTTGTGTGTTTGGACAAGGTCCTCTAGTGTGCATTAATACCTGTTTGTGAGTAAAGCACTGGTAATAAATTCATCCTCACTTTGGCCCCATGTACTATATATGTGTGTGTATATTTGTCAAGTTACATTCCTGTCAGCATATGGCAGTGTGATACAGGTTTTCACAGGTACACAAACACAGCTGTCCCTCCATCCTCCAGGTATATAGCCAGAGCCTCCCTTTGGGGATTAATAGAGTACTCTATCCACCTATGCCTATCTATTCATCTATAATTCTACCAAGCTATTTACATTAACCTTCTGCAAAAACTCTATTTCCTGCTTCGCTTTCAATCCGGATTCCACATTATGGGCCTATAGGGTGCCATAGATAGGTGCTCTTAATGTGCAGAGAGGTCACAAAATGGTCTGCCAGGCCCACTGCATGTTGACCGCACTCAAGGTGCTTCCACTTCCCAATTTTTATCCTTCTAAATGAGCACTACACCGGACAAGAGCAGTTCTCATGATATATCTTCTTTTGGCATTATAAAGTACAAAGGCTGCATGTTATCATTTGTCTAATCACAAGCCAAATCAAAGTCTGGTTCCACAAACTGGCATTGACTACTGCAAATTGTCTACCGTTTCCATATTCCTACCCTAAAAAGGTCATTTTATTTTTGTTTTCTGGTAGCTCAAGGCTCTACTCCCACAAATAAGGCAGTCTATTTCTCCCACAATATCCATCTATGGCCAAAAAAAAAAAAAAAAAAAAAAAAAAAAAAAGAGTTAAATCTAAAGAACTTAAGCCACATACTGAGGAACAATACTGCCTGTGGATGAGGAACATAATGTCAACAGCAACCTCTGGTGGCTATTTGCTGAACAGAACTACAAGCGCATGAACACAAAACTATAACCAGAAATGGGCTATAACATATAATGTGTACTGTAGAGCCTGAAGGTTTCCAGCAGCTAATAGTTGACAGATTTCTCCTAAAGGAAATCCCTATCTCAGAAATTCATCTTCCAAGTTGGTTCAGAAGACTTATGAGTTTAGTACTAGTGTTGTTGTTCTGTTATACAATATTAGAAGAAACAAAGACGAAGAAAAACATGAATAACATGAGCAATATTTTCTGAAGTATCAGACAAAATTTTTTGCTTCTAAAACAAGACCAGGGTTGATTTGTTTCTGTGTGTGTGAAAAGTCAAATGGCCGTTTCAGTTACCGATGAGGCACGCAGAGAAGGTCTGTTACTTAATTCTGGGTGATGTAAAGCCATTCACAGGTGTGTACCAGTGCTGACCTGACCTGAAACACACATTGTTTCAGGTCAGGTCAGCAAGCACTGCTGACTTTCAGGCTTTCCTTGTCTGCACACACAACCACTAACACAAAGGTCATTTCCATGCATCCCAAACAAACATAAGAGTGGCATTAGGTCTGTTACAGTTTGCCTGTGTGCACACAGTACACTGTAGCAGAACTGACAAAGGTGGTATGGAGGACACAGTACACGAATTTATGTGCGAGTAGTCAATGTTTCCAGGTCCCTCAGCAGGCATGGTCCGAGTATGAAGTCCTTTCACTCTCACAAACACATGAGGAAAGCATCATATCAATTATGCTATATTTATTTGACAACATATTTACATAAATTACTGTATTATGCCAGACAACTGGCAGCTAATAAAATTTAAAAAAAAGCAAAAAATTACAATCTGGGGCTTTCCCAAATAACAAAATCAACCAGGTATGAAAATGAATCATTCTTTCAATTAACAGGACAGAAACCTTAACAGTGAGCAGGGTGATGAAACATTGAAGGCATTCCTTCACCCCCAATAGTAACAACTATTATTAGGCAGAAACCGTCACACTGGACAGCTGATTATTGCCGAGGAAAGATGTTCAAGGTGGCAGGGTCGTGACCTTTTGTGTTGGAAGTGTGTACAGTGTTTGTTTGCTCTAGGGTGAATCACAATAGTCTTTTTTAACTCCAAGCAATCTTCCTCTACCAACACAGACAGAAGTGAAAAATCCAGACTTAAGTCTTTCAACTCACAGACAATGGGCTATTGAAATGTAAGGTACAGTCCAGCTGATTCATCTTTGTCTGTAAATGAAGGTGTTAATTGAAAAACGTCTTGCATAATGTCTCCTTCATGTCCATTACTCATCTCCTGCTGGGAGATTTTCTTCAATCCTCTTGATGAACTTCATGCGAATTTCTGTCACATTGTCCCCTCTCAATGTGTCCTGGGCAAATCTCACATCCACCGCCATCTGGACCTAAATCACATTCATAATCAGCTGCAATTCCATGTATAAACCTTTGTTCTTATTTCAAGACAAATCTGGACAATTTATTCATTTATAGCACTTTCACCATATACAATATTATGCAATATCAACATGTTTGAAACACTAAATCTTAAACTCTACATGGGCCACAAGAGGGTCTAGTGAGATGCAAAACAAACACACCAGAAACCACTCTTTAGCACTCTTTTCACCTCCCACTTGTACATGATGGCAGGAAGTGGTGGCATGTCATCCATTTTTATATACAGTTGGTACATAAAGTATTCAGACCCTTTCAGGTTTTACACAGTTTGGTATGTTTCAGACTCATCTTAAAACTGATTCAATCATTTTTTTTCTCCTCAGTTTACACACAATACTGTGCAAGGATCAAGTGAAAACAGGTTTTTTAGAAGGTTTTGTAAATTTATTAAAAATAAAAGACTGAAAGTTAAATAGACTGAAATTTAATTGAAAATATAATTGAATCAATTTTAAGTTGAGTCTGAAACACAACAAAATGTGGAAAACCTGAAAGGGTCTGAATACTTTCCATACTGACTGTACAGTCTATGTTTCAGATGCAGTCCTGCCAAGAGGTCCTCCAAGACTGGTTGGTGGAAACGATTATTTGCGGTTCAAAAAACCGCTTCTTATAACATTTGCTAGTTGGTCGGTAGGCCTAAATTACAGACTAAATTTTGACAACACAGGGTGGAGAGGCTGGAATAATAACATTTGATAATGTCTAAATTCTTAGTTAATACGCTTTTAAACTTAAAAAAAAACATCTTTATTAGGTTTTAAATGGACATGTAGTGATTTTTTATAAAGTATCCAAGCATATGAGCAGGCGTAAATACCCATGTGAATGGAGCGTCGACCTTACCATCTCCAGGGCTCCTCTGAGGACCCCGCACAGCAGATTGGAATAGATGAGTGTGCTGTGGTTATCCGGTAGCTCCACAAAGTCTACGAGTGGGTTGTTCTCTAGAATGAGGGAGAATTCATCTCCTGCTGGGCTCCAGTTGGTCACACTGGGGGTGACTCCCAAGTACATCTTAAATGCAACCTAACAACCACAATCCAGAGAAATTTGGATAAAAAGGAAAACACAGTGCAAGATTACTTGGATTAATTGGAAAGACTAAATTTGCATTGTATATTGGAGAGCCTAAAAATCACCACCAAACTACAATAGGTGACTGGCCCAACAACCAAATCCAGTGACAATCATTCAGCTCTTCCTGCAATTTCTTCACAGTACAAATCCTCATTAGTATTTTCTGCTGGGAGGTTTTACATGTGAAGCAGCTGCGGAAAGTCTTGCAGTTTTCATTAGTGGAATACTAACAGTGTTATCTATACACACCTGCTGTCAGATAACTGCTTTCTGTTGCTCCTGTTCTTCTGCAGCACTTTATCACAGAAGCGATGGCAGATGTGTTTGTGCACTGACAAATCAAATGTCCGATCAAGCTTATCAAACACATACTTATAAGTTAAATGGTTGCGATAAGTAGTCCAGCCTCACATTTACATAAAATGCTTTTTAAAACACTGAAATCCCAAATAATAAGCAAACTATTCGGCACCCATAATGGTAGATGATTTATTTCTGACCATTTAAGAAACCACTTCCATATACATTTAAACTGAAAAACGGCAGAGGTGATTTCAGAGTGTGAACAGGACCCATCTCTTCATGACCAAGAGTCAGCTCCTTGATCTAGACTTGAGTTACATCTGTGGAATGGCTCCTCCTCTTCTATAGCTTAGCTCATTTTTTAGAATACTTGATAAAGTTCACTCTTTCTAATCTGTCTTGTGTCTTTCCCTGTCTCTCCCTTTATTTTGGGACAAGCCCACAGTCTGATTGGCCCAATACCTTCCACAGCATTTCCCATAAATGTACATAAATATAAGAAAGAGATTTATGTTAGGAAAGGATGAGGACAGCAGCCAACATGCAGCTGCTGCTGTGAGAGAGGCAGGAGGGACAGGTCGTATGAACAGCACAGAGGTAGTCTACTAATTTTAATAAAAAAAAAAAAAAGTATTAAAGTGTGACACCAACTCCCCTGTGGGAAACACAGTTACCAGTTACCTTAGCAATAACATCGGCTGTTTCTCGAAAATCCTGACACCTGCCAATGCTGGAGCGTGCCAGGAAGTCCTCAATGAGACGCACACCAATGTTATAACCCCTACAAAAGACAGAAAACAACAAGAGAAAGAGTTAAAGTTATAAAGTTATTCTTCCGCTTCATAGAAGAAGAAAAAAGTGTCACAAAAAAGATACAGATTAGTGCACCCTAAAAGGTAGAAGACAGTTCCAAACCCTTCAAGACATTTGTGGTCATTTGGCAAATGATGAGAATTTTGATTAGAAGGTCAAGTCAACTTATCCTACAATGACATGCAAAGCTGAATGATAAATCCCAATCCTAAAATGGTCTGTCTCTGACAAGCTGGCTGGCAACTGGCAAAGCGGGATGTGCATTCTCACTGCCTTCTAAGGGCAGATAAGACAAGCCTCATCAGAGAAGGCTGCCACACAACTAGAAACACAAAGTACATACATTGCAAAGTCTTATGAACTTGGACTTTTTTTTTTTTTATGTTCACTTATTGACCCATAATTTTTTTTCATAATGTTATTTCATGGGAGACCTGTATCCAGAATTGCCTCCCAGACATTTCATTTCTGTCTTAAATGCACACATTCTCTTCTTTGAAGGCCAGTATTATTTACTAATTTACGAGTGATCTGATCTCCTGGGTTTTATCTTGCCAAAGTTTGAGAGGTTTTTAATCCTTGGTGATTTTAAAATTCATATACAGTGCCTTGCAAAAGTATTCATACCTCTTGAATTTTTCCACATTTTGTCACATTACAACCACAAACCTAAATGTATTTTATTTGGATTTTATGTGATAGACCAACACAAAGTATCACATAATTGTGAAGTGGAAGGAAAATGATACGTGCTGTTCAAGATTCTTTACAAATAAAAATCTGAAGAGTGTGGCGTGCATATGTATTCAGCTTCCTTGAGTCAATAGTTTGTCAAAGCACCTTTCGCTGCAAGTCTTTTGGGGTACGTCTCTACTAGCTTTGCATATCTAGAGACTGCAATTTTTGCCCATTCTTCTTTGCAAAGTAGCTCCAGTTCAGTCAGATTGGATGGAGAGTCTCTGCGAACAGAAATTTTCAAGTCTTGCCACAGATTCTCAATAGGATTTAGGTCTGGACTTTGACTGGGCCATTCTAACACATGAATATGCTTTGCTCTAAACCATTCCATTGTAGCTCTAGCTGCATGTTTAGGGTCACTGTCCTGCTAGAAGGTGAACTTCCGCCCCAGTTACGAGTCTTTTGCAGCTTCTAACAGGTTTTTTTTCCAGGATTGCCCTCTATTTAGATCCATCCATCTTTCCATCAACTCTGACCAGCTTCCCTGTCCTTGCTGAAGAAAAGCATCCCCACTACATGCTGCTGCCACCACCATGGTTTCACGGTGGGGATGGTGTGTTCAGGTTGATGTGCAGTGTTAGGTTTCCGCCACACATAGCGTTTTGCATGTAGACCAAAA